TATATCCAATATTTAAAATATAGTATTTACAAACTATATCCAATATGTAAAATATAGTATTTACAAATTATATCCAATATTTAAAATACAGTATTTATAAACTACATCCAATATTTAAAATATAGTATTTACAAACTATATCCAATATTTAAAATATATTATTTACAAACTGTATCCAATATTTAAAATATAGTATTTATGAACTATATCCAATATTTAAAATATAGTATTTACAAACTATATCCAATATTTAAAATACAGTATTTATAAACTACATCCAATATTTAAAATATAATATTTACAAACTATATCCAATATTTAAAATATAGTACTTATGAAATATATCCAATATTTAAAATATAGTATTTACAAACTATATCCAATATGTAAAATATAGTATTTACAAATTATATCCAATATTTAAAATATAGTACTTATGAAATATATCCAATATTTAAAATACAGTATTTATAAAATATATCCAATATCTAAAATATAGTATTTATAAAACATATTCAAGTTTAAAGTAAATTCCAGTATTTAGTTATAGTGAAGATTTAGGTCTTACTTCGGTGATGAATGTGCAAAGTATGTCAAATTATGTGTAAAACCATGTTGTAGACAGAGCTTACAATTAGCAGAGAGGGACCGAAGTTGATACGAATCTTTCGAGTAACTTGTACTCTAACTAGATAATAATAAAAAAAAAAAATTATTGCAAAATGATTCACTTTAACTATCCAAGACGAAGATACGTTCAAGTTCGATTCAGTTATTTTCACGTTACTTTGAGAATAACAAATGTATAAATCCATTTCTTGTCAACTGCGAAGCGAAATGTCTAATGAAACTACAGATTAATCGCTATCGCAGGTCGTATTTTTAGAGCGTATTCGAAAGATAGAGAAATGGAAATAACAAGGTACGTGTGCCTACGTAATTATTTATGCTCTTATCGGCCAGAAATTATGAACAATTGAAAGATGTTGTTTCTAATTTGATGTTAGAACGTTTGCTCGTCATTGATGAGTCTCCCACGATTCTTCGATGCCAGATTCAAGATAATCATGACGAATTCTCTCGAACCATTCGAATCATTCGTGTTTTTCGTCGTGTCGTTGCGAAATCACGTGATCTGAGTCCGCAACATTTTCCAATTACGACGATTAAGCCAAGTCGCTTCCAATTTTCCAATTACAACGGCGTGATGCGACATGTGTGCCTTCATCGGAGGCCGTACCGATCGATAAAATAGCTGAAAGTTTTCCTAGAAACGTAAGTAACAATTAACACGATCTCTCTCTTTGACTCTCTCTCTCTCTCTCTCTCTCTCTCTCTCTCTCTCTCTTTCTCTGGTATATAGGTTGCGTCGAAAAGGTCGGGTCTAGATCAGTAACGAAACGGGTTGCTATCTGCGCGAAGCAAGCCAACGTGACTCACGAATGCATGTTATAGCGATGAATGCACGACACACATCGTAAGTTATGTGTTTCACGCGATCCAGTTAACTGCGGAAGTTTACTTTTAAAAATTATTCGCGGGTTGCGTAATTAACTTCTTGCGCGTGCGAATGCACGTGCCACGCACGTCGAGAATTTTTTGTTCCAAAATTGTAACATTTCCTCAGTTTTTAAGTATATATTTAAGTGAAATAAAATAGGCAAAACAAATAATAAATTTATTACTTCTTAGTAATTTCTATTTACAGTGATATCATACAGACGAGTTCGTAAAGAAAGCGGCTAATTGTTGTATACGGTTCGGTCGCTCGTTATGGTCCGCAATCAGTTGCTAGCGCGAGTGGTTAACCTCTTGCGCTGGAATGACGTGCCACGCACGTCGAGAATGTTTTGTTCCAAAATTGTAACATTTCCTCAGTTTTTAAGTATATATTTAAATGAAACAAAATAAGCAAAACAGATAATAAATTTATTACTTCTCAGTAATTACTATCTACAGTAATATCATACAGACGAGTTCGAAAAGAAAGCGACGAATTATTTTCTACAGTTCGGTCGCTCGTTATGGTCCGCAATCAGTTGCCAGCGCAAGTGGTTAAAATCGAGCAATGACGAATATACAGCGAAGAGCAGGGCAAATGCAATAAATTTTACGAGAAAAGTAAAGCAAAACGGAAGGAAGAACTACATTTTATTGTATAAAAAATTATTGGTAAAAAGTTAAAAATTGTCAAAAAAAATAATAAAATTCAAAAAACAAAAAAAATTAAAGAAAGAAAAAAAAGATAATTTTAGGAAATTCGAATTGATTTCAGGACGTGCACCAGTAGTATCGTGATTCCTTTTTTTTTTTTCTCTGACAATTTTTAAATTTTCAATAGCAATAACCTTCTCAACGATGAATTGTTAATCTTTTTTAACATAAAAATGTAACTCTTCCTCGTTTTGCTTCACTTTTTTTCGTAAAATTTATTATAGAAGCATCACGCATCCCGTGAGAGATTTCTAAAACTAAATTCCGCAGTTAACCGGTCTAATCTCTGCTTACAGATCGAGCAACATGCTGTTTCTCGAATTTTATCATCATATTTCAATCATTCGTATTTCTTAGTGGTAGTTGTACAGGTACAGCGTGTTAAAAGAAATGGGTCGCAAATTCTTAGAAAGCAAACTTTACAACTCAATTGACTCGATCGTTCGATCAATTACCTTGATTCTACTTCTGGAAGATATTTCACTTCACATCGCCGGAGTGACTTTTGACGAAAGATTGAAACGAGCGCAAATGATGCAATTGGGAGGAGTGTTTCCCGCATGCATCGTTCGCTAGTGGCTTGAATTGTCCGAGAGATAAAATTTTTCCAAGAACTACACAGTCCGAGAAAGTTTCCAGCGTCACTTACCGTATACATTACATTCGTAAAATTACGCGTAATTGGCTCGCAATTGTAATAAATTCTCTTGTATTGTACACGAGACGAAAGAGGAAATCTCGAATCAATCCCAATCTATATATAACGTCGTCTGTAAATTAAGAAAATTTCATTTCATTTTTTTTTTTTTCTTTTTTTTAACACGATGAAACAACGTACAACGTCTGTACGAAAGTAGAAAAAAAAAAAGAAAAACAATAACCACATAGCTTCGAGATAAATTGCTATTAATTACGTAATGACGACAGACGACATAGTTCATAGTTCACTTTCTGGCACGAGCCTGTGTCTCGTTCATTCCCAAATACAAGGCAAACGCGAAATACCGGAATGCGACCGTGAAATTTTAATTAACAACGACGTGTCCGATCCTATTTTAAGTGGTTTCGTTTCTGCCGTGCTGTTTAAAGAGCGCTGCTCCCCGAGCGTGTAGCAGAGGGGAGCAGCAAGGTGGGCCGGATTTTCTGTCCTCCGGAAGACGGTGAAGTAATTGGTATTGCTGCCTGTATTAACTGGTTACTCGGCGAAGTCAAGGATCAGTTGACGTTCGATCATCGAGCGGATCGGATCGTGGCACTCCCTCTTTCTCCTTGTGTGTCACGTGTATCTACTGTGTAGCTTCCAGTTTTCTTTGTTAATAACTGTGTGTGTAATCGCCACCTGTTCTCTGCTTGCCTGTGTACCTTGAGAAACATCGGCTCTGACTCTCTGAGTGGCATTGACTCTTCAACAGCAGACAGAGAGAAAGAGAGAGAGAGAGAGAGAGAGAGAGAGAGAGAGAGAGAGAGGAATAAAGTGGAGCAGTAAAATTGATAAATAATTACGACGGCAGTTAAGGTGAATTATCTTTCGAACTCGCGAGTGATACGGTAAATTCAGTTGAAGTGTCCAAGGTGATTCCTTGTATTATCGGATTAATTAAAAAAAAAAAAAAAATGAGTATAACGTGACGCGAGATATATACATATATACATATATATGTGAAGTGATATACTTCGCTCTCTGAAACTTTTAGATTTCGAAATAAATCTCAATCGCTGGGTAAAAGAACATCTTTCTTAATAATGAAGAATTTATTTCGCGCAGTTGTTTCAAGCTACGTTTTTTAATAGTATTAGTATCAGCATCGACATTAGTGTTATCTTTAATATTATTAGTATCATATTTTTATACTTATAATAAATATAATTAATATTATATTACTAGTAATACTAATATTATTAGTATCATATTGTTATATTTATATAGTGTAGTATTATTCAAATGAATATCGTTGGAACATTAGTATTATTAAAGATAATACTAATATCACTAATATTAGTAATATTAGTATCATCTTTAAATAATAGTATGATTAGTGTTTTATTATTATATTTATAATAAATGTAATTAATATTACATTACTAATAATATTAACATTATTAATAATATCATATTACTAATAATATTAGCATTATATTATTAGATTTATATAGTGTAGTATTATTCAAATGAATATCGTTGGGACATTAGTATTATTATAGATAATACTGATATCACTAATACTAGTAATATTAGTATCATCTTTATATATTAGTATGATTAGTATTATATTATTATATTTATAATAAATATAATTAATATTATATTACTAGTAATATTAATATTATTAGTATCATATTATTATATTTATGTAGTGTAGTTATTATTCAAATGAATATCGTTGGAACATTAGTATTATTATTCAAATGAATATCGTTGGAACATTATATACCTTTAAATAATAGTATGATTAGTATTTTATTATTATATTTATAATAAATATAATTAATATCACATTACTAATAATATTAACATTATTAATAATATCACATTACTAATAATATTAACATTATTAATAATATCACATTACTAATAATATTATTATAGATTTATGTAGTATAGTAATATCAGTATTATTTTTAACATATAGTATTATACAGTATAGTATCATTACTAATATCATTACTAATAGCAACATATAATTTATATTATTACTAATATTAGTAATTATCTTTGATAACACTAATGTTCCAACGATATTCATTTGAGTTGAAATTTCATTTCACCAAATATTCAGTCCCTACGCTTCATCTTCGACGAGCTTTTACAGATTTCAATTTCTCTCCCCCTTCCTGGCATTTCAGTGTCGGTGGCACGTTTCTCATTCGCGTCCGAGTTTCGACCCGAACAGATCCTGAGAGACACGAAACGAATCGGTGAAAACGACGATCGACGATGTGACGTCGTTGAAATCGGTCCGAGATAGAACGTCGTAATGGAACGTGTGATTTAACATCGCCGAACATTTCCACCCGAAATGGTCGTCAAGTGTCGTGGCACGCCATGGTCCCCTAAATTTGAATTGAATAGAACGTTTGATCGTTTTGAAGAAGACACCGTTTAACTCGAGGGTAAATAGCGGCGTTCATGATTTTATGGACAGTACCGCTTCTTGGATTAACGCATTCAGCACGTCGTTGATATTCAACGTATCCGCGCGTGCAATTATTGTGAAATTGCCCACGAATGGGATAATAATTGTGCGTCGGCTGTACTACCGGTTAAAAATAAACCGGATGGTTACTTTGATCGTTACGATTCGAAATAAATTATGATTGCTCGTCGATTATCCGTGTTCAGGTCATATTCGTTATAGACGCGCTATTTAAAATCTGAAACTCGTCACGAGGATTTATCAAGTGGAGAAGTTTGATCAAAATGTTCGAAATTATAATTATAGTTAGTTCAAATTAATTGTAATTGTAATATAATATTATAATGTAATTATAAAATTGAAATTAATTACAATTACAATAATATTGTAATATTAATAATATTAATATTTAAAAAAATTATTAATAATAAAATTATAAAATTAAAATTAATTACAATTATAATAATATTGTAATATTATTAATATTAAAAAAAATTAATAATATTAAAATTATAAAATTAAAATTAATTACAATTATAATAATATTGTAATATTATTAATATTATTAATATTAAAAAAAATTATTAATAATAGTAATATTAAAATTATAAAATTAAAATTAATTACAATTATAATATTGTAATATTATTAATATTATTAATATTGTAATATTATTAATATTGTAATAATATTGTAATATTATTATTATTGTAATTTTATAATATATTATAAAATTAAAATTAATTACAATTATAATATAATATTGTAACATTACAATATTATTATGAAATTAAAATTAATCATAATTGTAATATAATATTGTAGCATTACAATATAATTGTAAAATTAAAATTAATCATAATTACAAATTAATAATTAATTAATTGAAATAACTATAATTATAATATAGACTTGTAGTTGACATTTCAATTCTTCACTATATTTCACGAAATAGATTGTGAAACTCTGTTCGTCAATTATTTTGTCCACGTTCATGAATTATTCAGGCCGCCACAATTATACAGTGATTTTACATTTCTTTATCATGAACGCGCTGTTTAAAATTTAAAAGTTGAAATTGAAATTTTAAATTCACGTGCAAACGGGCAACTTTGATTAGATGGTTTGTTGTATTGTTGTTGCGTTCCCTAGATCAGCAGACTCCTATGTTTGTCAACGCAGTTTAAATAAAAAGAAAAGAAAACGAAGGCTTTTTCTGGGAAATGTTGCCCGAATATTTCATCATCATAATTATCTTTGTCGTCCTCGTAAATGCATGATAAAATTTTGCAGTTGCTGTCGAACATTTTTGTCTGTAAAGAATCAGTAATATCTCCCAAAGTCTGTGATAAAAGTTTTTCTTATACATCTATACATGTGAAACATCTTTTTATTTATTGTACAGGGTGTACAAAAATTCCGAAAACAAACAAGTAGGCAAGTCTCAATAAATATTCCAAGAGTTCTAAAACTTTGGTATCAAAGTTACAAGACGTTTCCTGTTATAAGTCTCTGTAACAGATTAACAAGACTCTGTTCCGTATTTATCTGCAGCCTATCCATAATCGTAATAATAACATCATGTAAATAATGTCACGGCACCGTTTAGCAATCTGTCTATAGGGACATTCAAAAAAGTATACTTTGCTCCAATAAATATTGACACCACGATATTTGAATCGTGCTAACCGGTTTGAATCCCCTTTCTTTCAACGATTCACAATGAAGACGCGTGTCGAACTGTTGAAAATTCGAGGACAGTGTCGAACGTATCGTTGTGGAGATAACGTCTTACTGAAAAAAAACATTTCGCAACTACGACACTGATAGCTCTTAGGCCAATAACAGTGTTTGGTAAATTTCTGAAGTTCGTCTTCAATTTTTTTTTTTTCTTTTTTTTTGTACACTCTGTATAATAGAAAGCACTTCGAATATTTATGAATGGCACAACTTTGCAAAATTATTATCACTCGAGGGGAAAATCGTCGAACGTGTAGTAAATTATTATATATCGAAAACAGACAGTTCCGCGATAATTGATCTAGGCAAAGATAATTTTCTTTTTTTTTTTTTTTTTCTTTATCAGTCTAGAGTAATTCTGCGTTTTCGGATTATTTTACTTTCTTCCGTGATCTTTCGTATCAACGTACTCATGCCTCGATCATTTCCAACTGTTTCTGAGAAAGTACACGAAATCCGCGAGTACAAGAGAAATCCGAAAGGTTCAGAAACAAGATGAAAGCCAAAAATAATAAAGATAGCACTGGACACTTTATCTTTGAGAAAATTAAGTAAACATAAACATATTTAAATTGTTTCTCGCTAAATCAAAAAAAATATATATATATATATATTTTTCTTACATTTTTGAATTATTTCCACTTCGATCTAATTAATTCACTCTCATACAACATACATACATCAAATTTCGAAGCTCGGCTGTCTCCAAAATGATATCTCTAACGAAACTTCGTTATTCTCGATTTCCATCTTGTTAGGATCTCCCTCGCTCTTCGATTGTATCGCGAATTTTAATTACACGCCGACGATGTGTACTTTATACTTCTCACACAAATCGCTTGGAATGATAAATCGTCGTTTCATTCTTACGGGGAATAATAATAACACAAGACCCTTCGTGTCCACGTTTTAACAATAGAACTTCGCAGTAATCATCTCTCAGAATCTACGGGTTTTATCAATTTGTATTAAAGAAAGGGAGCAACTGTCGCGGGCGATAAAATATCCTCGACGACAGTGTTCTTTCGCGTAAGTAACAAACCGCGTCACCGGATTAGAAAGCGAGAACTTACGAAACAAAATGTTAATAAACGACACGTTTCGATCTCCTCTACTCTGAACTTCACAAGCTTCACACGTATGCTCATTTTTTTTTTTCTTTCCTTTTTTTTTTTCTTTTTACCGATTCCCATTCTATCGACTAACAGGTACGCATTCGATCACGAGGTGCTGATGATTGTTTGAAAACTAGGGAAAAATGTGGCTGAAGGACGTGAATAACGACGCCTTGCCGGCTGCGAATTTCGTGAACTCGCGGCGCAGCGTTCAAAACGAGTAAGTTCCTCGTTTCTCTTGTGTTCTTTTTTTTTTTTTTTCCTCTGTCTTTTCCTCTTGTGTTGGAAATTTGTCCATCATCGAGGCCTATGAGCTATCTGCGCCATAGCTCGTAAGACCGTACATATCTTTCATGTAAGAGATAACAATATAAAAACTTCATGTGTGTGGCGATACACGAGTAAATGTCGAGTCGATCATTTAATACACATCGGTGTCGTCGGCTTTATATTCATTGTTGGCATAACTTGTGCTGAAATAATCGAAAATTCGGTGATTTACATTGAAAGTGAGATCATTTTCACGAAATTTTAATTGAAAGCTATATATATATAATCCAGGTGCATAGAAATTGTGAGTGTTTCTCACAATCTTTTGAATTTTTGAAAATTATAAAATAACTTACATATATATATATATATATATATATATATATATATATGTAACTTATATTAAATATATATATATATATAACTTACATTTACTTAGTTATTGTGTATATATATAATAAAATAACTTACCTTATATATATATATATATATATATATATATATATATATAAAATAAATTATAATAAATACCAAAATTATAAAATAAATAAATTGCACATCTGTTTGTTGTACTGCCACAGAATTATTTAATAAGTGTCGTCTAACTGGCTTGTACGATTATTGATAATAATTTATGTTACTGGAATAACGCAATAATAATTGTGTTAATGGATAAAACAGTGTTATTGGAACAGAAAGTGACTTTTTTATTTTCAACATGATGTTTACTGAAAAACAGATATTTAAACATGTTCGTTCTCGTGAGAGGATCGTGTAATGCACGATTAAATCGCCAATTGAATGAAACTGAATCAAAAACATCCACTGTGAAACAGTTTTAGCACGATTGTTTTATTGAGAGAGAAATAAAACGAATAAATATATTTACATCTCTGAAAGTATATCCAATAAATTATTCGAGATAAATTTTCAATTTATTTTGCACGTTTCTTCCTGAAAGATCGTCTAAAAGTAATTATCACCTGTCTATAAAAGTCTGTCTGTAATTATCACCTGGAAGTAGATATATTTCACTCTCGTCAATCAACATTATACATAATTCCGATTGATCTATAATATTGTCACGCATCTCCTATTATTAAAGAGATTCAGTGTAATCGAAATATTCTAATTCAGAGTGATTAATAATAATAAATCAGCGCATACTTTTGCATAATTCTCGTGAGAAACATGGAAGCAAACGTCGTTGTGTTGTTAAATTAATAAATCATCATTCGGTTTAATTAAACGCACAATCTTTGAAACTGTGAATCTAACAAATCGGAACGATCATCGACCGGATAACATCTGTCACTCATTTCAAAAGTGGGACTAATGGCTATAATAAATCCTTTCCTGCCTCTTATATTCAACACTGTGTCCCCCCCCCTCCCCTTCTTTTCTCCCGTTATGTTGTTGCAACATTTTTCTCTTATTCAACGAAATATTATGTCCTTAAGTATAACACACAGTATAATTTTTATTAATAATTAAGTTCACTATAAATTTATGTTTCATTTGTATAGTTTCACATTGTGTATAATTTTTTATATATTTCTGCATATTACGCAGGCTTACGTATACTTCTGTATATTATTTCTTTATCTACACAGGACAATATATTTACATTATAATTCCAATATATTTATATATTTCTGTATATTACGTATATTTCTGTATATTTTATATTATTTCTTTAATTACATTTTATCTATATTTACATTTTATATTATTTTTCAATATATTTACATTTTATATTATTTCTTTATAAGACAATATATTTACATTTTATATTATTTCATAATATATATATTTTATATTATTTCTTGACATAAGATAATATATTTACATTGTAATTCCAATGTAAAGTAAAAATATTTGCAATTCGGTAAATATGTGTGTTCGCCAAAGTTGCTTGAATAGAACAGACTATAGAGTTTGACGAGATATGCGAAATTGGCTGATATCGAGATGCGATCGATTTTCATTTAAAAAAAGAGGAATGCATAAAACACGTTCACGATATAACAATTGAAACGAATCGTTCGTAACCTCTAAGTGGATAGTTTTGTAAAGTCCATCTCGTTGAAAGGGTGAGAAATATTTCAATTGACACGAGCGTTTATTTATTTAGAAAGAAAAATGAACGATTCCGAAAATAAAGAAGATCCGGCGAGAAAGATCAGCGATTCCTATATAATGAGGCTGCCAGTGGCAATTCATCCAGATACCTTGTCTACGCCTTCACAAATATCCCTAACTCGAGGAATCGCTCTAAATAGGTTAGATTTAGGTTAATTAGGTTTTGATGTAATGACATCAATCTCAAAGAAATTCAATTTTCTAAGCAAATCGATCGAGAATCTTAGGAAAAAGAATTTTCGTTAACCATTAAGCTCTGGCGTGTAATTTTTATTTATATTGCATTGCATTCAATTTCAACAAAACCGACCTGACTACTATTGTATAAACTATGTATATTAATTTGAAAAATGTGCTCTTCACACTCGCTCATTGAATGAATGTTTTAAATGTGACCAGACGATTAGATGGACGAGTGATTAAGATTTGTTATCATTTACTTTTGTTGCAGGATATTTGTGAATCGTAGCCTTCATTTAGAAAATATCAAGTTCTATGGATTCGACATGGACTACACATTGGCAGGTGAGTATAAAAAATATACGTGTTACATGAAAAAAGGACCGTAGGAAAGTATTATTCAAATAACTGAAATGTTTCAGAATACAAGTCGCCACAGTACGAACAATTGGGCTTTACATTGCTGAAAGATCGTCTGGTGTCTCTGGGATATCCACAGGAAATTAAAGCATTCGAGTATGACCCTAGTTTCCCAGTGCGGGGATTATGGTTCGACACTCTTTACGGAAATCTTCTCAAAGTGGACGCCTATGGGAATATCTTGGTTTGCGTTCACGGTTTTGAATTTTTGAAACAGTAAGGGCCATTGTAACTTGCTCGAGAACTGTGGACATTTGTGCAGATTGAAATTTTTATAAATACGATATCAAAGAAATAGAAATTAAGTAGAGATTTGTTTTATCAACCATTTGCTAATAACAAGTCACTTTGTAAATAAAAGTGCAATGTACAATGCGTTGTTAATTAATAAGTACAGCAAACTTCTTAACATTTTTAAGTTATATATGTGTATAAAATTCCACAGTCTACTTGTTTCTTAATTAATATAGATGAACATAATGTTAATTATTCAACACACTTTTTTTACATTTCAGTTCACAAGTATACGAGCTTTATCCAAATAAATTTTTACAATTGGACGAGTCCAGGGTATACGTGCTCAATACGTTGTTCAATCTTCCTGAAACATATTTGTTAGCCTGTTTGATAGACTTTTTCACAAATTCGCCGCAATACTCGCGGGAGAAGACAGGAGTGAAAGAGGGAGAGCTTACGATGAGTTTCAAAAGCATATTCCAAGATGTGCGAAACGCCGTGGACTGGATACACCTTCACGGTGATTTGAAAACGAAGACCATAGAAAATTTGGACGAATACGTGAAGAAAGATAAGAGACTGCCAATGTTTCTTAACAGGATCAGAGAAAGCGGGGCAAGAGTGTTTCTTTTAACGAATAGCGATTACGTCTTTACCGATAAAATCATGACTTATCTGTTCGATTTTCCACACGGTGCAAAGGTATATGATTCTAATTCGTTATTGCCATAAAAATCTATCTTATAAGTTATATTAAGTGATAAAAATTACTTTAAAGCCTGACGAACCGCACAGAAATTGGAAAACGTATTTTGATACTATCGTAGTAGATGCTAGAAAACCGTTGTTTTTTGGCGAGGGTACGATTTTACGGCAAGTGGACACTAAAACCGGAGCTTTGAAACTTGGAACGCACAAGGGCCCGCTTCATACAGGTATGGTGATGCTTTCTTAAATACAAAATATTACATCTATTGTATTAAATCATATGAAACTGATTTATATGTATTAATTATGTTGTATCAATTTATATGTATGTTAGTAGTATAAATTAGAATTTCAATCTAATAAAAAATTGTAATTCTACTGTCTGTTTGTTTGTTTTCATGTAAAACAGGAGAGGTTTACTCAGGAGGCTCGTGTGATGTGTTCACCGAATTAATAGGTGCAAAGGGTAAAGACGTGTTATACGTTGGTGATCATATCTTTGGTGATATTTTAAAAAGTAAGAAGATCAGAGGGTGGAGAACATTTTTAATAGTGCCTGAACTAGTACAAGAACTTCATGTTTGGACCGATAAATGTCAATTGTTCGCCGAGTTACAAAATTTAGACGTTATGCTAGGAGAAATGTACAAGTAAGAGGGAATCGTTGTAACGAAAATTATGAACCATTTTCACGAATTTTAATTTCATTCGTTTCTCTACGTATATATAGAAATTTAGATAGCAGCACAAAAGAAAAGCCTGATATTTCTAAGCTGCGAACATCCATAAGAGACGTCACGCATAAAATGGATTTATCTTACGGAATGATGGGTTCATTGTTCCGTAGTGGGAGTAGGCAAACTTTCTTCAGTAGCCAAGTAGTGAGGTATGCTGATCTTTACGCAGCAACCTTTTTAAACCTCATTTATTATCCATTTTCGTACATGTTCCGAGCCCCGGCTATGTTGGTAAGTTAAATGAAGACTGTTTTTATTTTATTGTTCATAAAATTTTGAGATTTTAATTTGACTATATTTCTATTTTATGTTGTCAAGATGCCTCACGAGAGTACAGTTGCTCACGAACAAAGATTTGTTATGGAAACGCCAATGATCAGTCGATCTCGGACATTCAAGCTCGCAGAAGAAGAAGAAGAACAACAAAATAAACCTACTGTACGTATTGAAAAGTTTGCTTTTATTTTGATGTTATATATAAATACAAAATTCAAATTCTTCGTATTATCAATTATTAGAAAACTGTGTATATGGACTGTCCCAATAATCAAATACCGCATGCAAGGCCAGAAACTCCGCGTAATGTGACACACACTCACGATGAAGATTGCAGTGACGAAGATAGTGACTCTCAGAAACAAGCAAACCACGTAAGATCGTGCACAAGGAATTCTAATTGCAAATGAATTATTTTTACTGTTATTTCTTCTTTCGGTTTCTCACATTTTGTTTCTACATTCTCTTTTAACCATTCACTAAATTATTATTAAAGGATTGAATAGAATCCTACTACATAGATATCTAACTTAAGAGTCTTGATCAAATTTACTGAAATTAATTAATAGTATTTTTCATTCCTTTATTTTATATGAAGAAAATTATGATAATCGTGTTAAGTTTCAATTACATTCGTCGAATATATATTCCAAAATGAATATAATATATAATGTTCATATATATTATAGAAACTAAATTCTTTTTTTTTATTTTCATGATTTAAAAAGATACAAAATATAAGTTACAAAAATCAATGTAAATTAATTTACACATTTATATTTCTTTATTGATTTTATTGATTTAATTTAATATTTATTTAAATGTATGTAAAATAGTACAAGCTATATACAAAAAAAGTTCAGGTAGTCATATACAAGTTCATAAATTAGTATATATATGTTAAACTGAAAGCCAATCAAATAGGATATAGTTGTTCGTTTATTTATATCAATAACGAAATTTTTATAAGACAATAGAATTTAATATTTTATTGGCTAACAACACGATAATATCGTTTGATCGTGTATTATTTTTAACGTGAATGATTCTCGCACAAGAAATTGACATTCATAGTAATATTAAATAGATGCAATATGAAATAAATATATCTTAATATTGAATTTTTCTAGTTATGTACTACATGTTTTATAAGTTCAATCTTACATAATTATAATTATAAACTTGTTATGTATTGTATATAATAAGTGTTATGACTATTGAAGGTAGTGTAAGTTTGAGTATTAGGCTAGTCTTTTTACATGAAATTTTATTAATACGACATGAATGACATAGTAAAATTTAAAATAAAAAGTTAACTCGAATTGTTATTAATTTTTGTCTATATAGATGTGTAAGTTTATTACAATTATAAAAAATTTAGAAATAGAAAATTATAAATATTTTTTGCCAACGAAATGATTTGACTTGTAAATTTCAATTAATATTGTAATTTATAAAATAATTTCTACTATGTATAAAAATGAATAACGAAAATTATTATATAAAATATATTACTCTTTACTCAATGAAACAGAATATATGAAACAATAAATAAAATAAATAATAGAATAACAGAATATATGAAACAATAAATAAAAGATAATAGAAGAAACAAGAATTATGCTTCAAAATTATTTAAATCTTACAGTTAACTCAAATTTACTTTAATTGTCAATAATGTATATATCATAAAGGTTGTTGAAAATACTTGACTGCAATAAAAATAAATAGTTGTATTTATTTATTATACAATATACACACACATATATATACATACATTATTACCTGTGATGCTAGATTTTTTTCATAAAGAATTTATTGTAAATGTAAGTAAAAAATGGACAAGTTATTCCGAGTGTAAAAGTTAAAAAAATATATACTAAGCCTTGTTATCATGCAATATACTGGTAGAATATGAACATATACATCAATCAAAATAAAGATACAGCAACTGTAATTATTAATTTATTTAAACGTAACTAGTGTTGTATATGGAAATTGTTATATTTTTTTTTTAACAAACGATTTCTTTGACATTACTAATATTATTCTGGTAGAAAATTTAATTTTATTCCCTACATTAACAAATCTGCTAAATACTCTTCAAATTCCTCTTCTCTTGTTTTTTCCAAATTTTCAATTGGTTTTTCTTTCCAAATCTTAGATTCATCTGCCCTTGTTTCAACTAATTTCTCACTATTATTTGTACCTTCGTCCTCCTCAATTTTAATTTCAACTGTTGATGTACTAGGCATATCACGGGGTGTTTCACCATTTGTTCCTAATCTCTTTAATGTTTTGTGTCTCTTTGCTTCATGTTTTTGAGATCTATAATTCAACTTTGTAGAACATTCAGGGCATAGTCCTTAAAATGTACATCAATAATAAACCTATATAAATCCATTCATAATAACTTGGAATAAACTACAAAACAACTTACTTAATTTTACAAGAGCATTTTTCTTTTGGCCATGTTCTATGTAACCAAAATTTACTTCCCATGATTTAAGGTCTTCTTTCTCTTTACATTTTTTATTTCCACATTCAAACTGTCCTTTACCAACAATAACTTCTTTCTCTGTTCTCCATCTTAAGGCAACCTGTTCAATATTGTCTTTTAGCATTTAATTCTAAAATATTTCATCATATACTTCAGGGACAATGTCTGCGAATTGAACCTGTATAACCTTTACCTAAAGTTATTTCAACAATAATAAATTTTATAATTATATATAAATGAAATCATTTTACTCATACCATTTACAGTTACAAAAATTATTATTATTACTATTAATATAATTTAAATCTATAGAAATTATCAAAAAGTTTATATCATCAATATCAGGCATAGTCCTTGAAGAGTTAAAGTATATATCAATCCACCTTATTTTGCTTGTAATATGTTAAGTCAGCTATACAGTATTCTTTAAACAATTTGTCGTAATATTTCTTTGCCAACCGAGCACCCCATGTTTCTGGTTTGTCATTATCCTGATCCCACAGAAATCTATGGTTTTCTTTAATAACGTCATAGTCAGTCTTATCTCGGGACCTCGAAACACAGGCCGAAACGTCAAGAGCTGCTTGTTTTAGAGTTTACAGAGTTGCCACTCTTTCTTTATTATTTATTTTTATGTAGTTACATTTGTGTAATACATAAACTTTTTTTTTACCAAACTTTCACATTTTAAATAAATATGTCAAAATATTAACTTTGATTTAGTTACGAAACGCCAAATTATACAGTTACATTAAGTATACAATAAGGTTACGATATCAAGTTGTAATATATGAGAACCAATTAAAAAATTTAACATACGTGTCTCGTTTTAAAGATGACACCGAACCTCCGTATAACGTGAAATAATCATTTATTAGTTTTTTATGCCTGTCATAAGCCGACAAGTAGGCGTAAGCTGGAAACATGTTTCTTCCAGCAAAAATTGAATTTATTTCTAGTCTCGATGAGCAACGTTCACGTATCAGTTATAATACATACGAGATATTTAACTGATAATGCTTTTTAACGGAGTATACAAAATACACTTGTTTATTGAACAAATATTGTCTCACCAGAATCAAGTACACATGTAATTCACATTCTTTTTCTAGAGAAATGTTCCAAATGTTTCACGTATCACGACCTGCTTTTAAAAATGGCGTTACACCGAGAGCAGCGCCAACAAATGAGGAAATCTGAAGTTTTTGTACATTTATGAACAAAAATTTCCAGAAATTCAAACACTTATTTCATATTATTTCAATACAGTTTTAACTTATTTTACATTTCAATTTGTAATGTAATTAGTCATTGATTACAGTGATTAATCATGTTATGAATTTACACTGTTTTATGATCATATTTTATCAGCAGATTTATCACGCAATACCGAGCAATGTATCTCACTGTATATCAAGTATAATATTCTCTTATGTATAATATTGTATTTCTTACAAGATAGAATATCTTGTTTAAGAAGATAGAATATTTTTTAAAAAGGTGAAATATTAATATTTTAATCAATTATGTTTAAAATTATCACTAAAAATAATATACACAATTTTTCTCTAAAAAAGATAAGATCAGTTAGTAACTTTGTAAAAGTAGTTGAAGTTGGGCCTCGAGATGGATTACAAAATGAGAGAAATATTGTCCCAACTGAAGTCAAAGTTGAGTTCATTAACAAGCTGTCAGATAGTGGTTTAAAGAATATAGAAGTCACCAGTTTTGTATCTCCCAAATGGGTTCCACAAATGGCAGACAATGCACAGATATATCAAAAAATTAACAAGAAGCCAAATGTTTCTTATCCAGTATTGGTACCGAACATGAAAGGTTTGGAAGACGCAATGAAGGTCAATGTAAGAGAGATAGCTATCTTCTTAGCTGCGTCTGAGACCTTTTCGAGGAAGAACACCAACTGTTCCATTGATAACAGTATGAAGAAAGCTAGAACAGTTATTGAAGAAGCATTAAAACATGATATTAAGGTTAGAGGCTATATATCGTGTATCGTTGGTTGCCCTTACGAAGGCCAAATTCAGACAAAGGCTGTAACCAATTTAGCAGCATTCATGTTAGAATGTGGTTGCTATGAAATTTCTTTAGGAGATACCATTGGTGTAGGATCACCTAATAAAGTAAAGAATGTGTTACATGAATTGGAGCATGTATCAAATGACATGAATAAATTTGCAATTCATTGTCATGATACTTATGGACAGGCTCTAGTGAATATTTATGCTAGCCTTGAATGCGGAATAAAAACTTTCGATTCGTCTGTAGCTGGTCTAGGCGGTTGCCCATATGCAGCTGGAGCTTCTGGAAATGTCGCTACTGAAGATTTACTTTATCTTCTACATGGTCAAAATTTGGAAACTGGGATAGACCTTAATAAAATAGTAAAAATAGGAGAATTCATCAGCAGTCAACTTCAAAAGCAAAATCAATCCAAAGCGGCTACTGCAATTCTTGCAAAAAAATGTTAAGAAAAATTCTTTATAGTAATATCTTTGAAAAAAAAAATCAAGTTAACAAAAGATACGAATTCGTGAAAAGAAGCTTGGATAAGAATGAAAGGATTCTACTTGACACTTACTAAATTTTTAATAATTTTTTTTAAAACTTGTATACACAATCCATAGAAATATGGCGCAACGATCAAACACACTACGATGTGTTATTTTCGTAAGTAGCTATACATTCGTGGCATTAAGAACATACATATAAAGCTGATTTTATTAAAAAAAATACATTATAATACATGACAACAGAATGACACACAGTATTTGATTTACACTTGATATGGAACTTATGTTACGAAATGTTCGATAATTCTTGTAGTATAGCCTGTGTGTCTAATGTACTCAAATCTATAGACCCTCGAGTATCAATTACAACTCCAGTTACCTAGAAGATAAAATAAAAGCCGTAAAAAAAGAAATCTGAAATCATAATTTTATACATTTAAATCGATTATTACCATTTCTTCAAAGAATGCAACATGATTAGGCTTCTCAGAATATCTTTCATATTGATCTAAATTATCTTGCAACTTTAACGTAAGGCTGTCATAATTTTGTATTATAATAGCTAAAATTTGTTGTTCTGTTGGAGTGGATAAACTTTCACTCGCCAACCACGCAGCTATTTTTGGTGGAAAATGATTCACTATGTCTCTCATATTTACTAAACAATTTGTCAACTTTAATGCATGTTCTTTATACTCGTAAGATTCGCTTGTTGAATAACGGAGCGCTTGAACATACAAAATATTTTTGTCATCAACTAACATACAACTTAAACAATAAAAAAAATATTAAAGTACTTGTTTAATATATACCCATTGCATTCAAATTTGTGAAAATAAGCCTCATTCGTATTATTTCGTAAAATAATTCGTCGTAGCTACTAGGAGAGGATAGGAATGTGTCTCCGTACGTAATAAACAAGTTCAAGATATTCACAACCTAGAAGAATTAAATTTATTTTCGTAAATTTGTACTTTATACAAGAATTAGATGAATCATATCAAATTACCTGAATAGCTAATGGAAATATATTCATTTTCTTAATAAGGTGGCTTTCGTGAGTTGTTAGAAATTTAAGTAAATTTATTAGAGCAGTCCAAAGATCTCTCCACTGATATCCAAGTCTAACTCTACATCTTTTTTGGTAACAAAGCAATCTCTGTAGAACTCCGATACATTGATGATAAAGTTCCAACGGGAATTTTTTCATCATGTGCGACGTAACAAATTCAACAAGTAAATCTATAATATTTGACAGTTATTTAAACTATTCAAATTTTTCAAATTGGACACGTGATAATTATACCAAGTAAAGTAGCTGCTAATGGTTGTGCTGGTGCTGCTTTGTCCTGTATTTTTCTGTGATGCATTGGTACTCGATGGAGCTGTACCCTGAATGCCAAGTTTGCATCATGCATCAAACTGTTTGCATACTGATCCTCTGCGATACAACTTAATATGAGGAAGCACAACTTAACATTATTCATTATTGCCTCTGTTCTGATCACCTGCATAACTATTGAACTGAAATAATTAAAGTTTCTTCCAATAAAATCCAACACATTGATATCTACTCTTTTCTTTTTTTTTTTACAATTATTGTTTATGCTTGTTCTCACCAATACTGTAAGAATGTGGCCAACAAATTAAATGGCTGAGCCATCACATCAGACAATTGTGCCCCGGGAGCTACCGCATTTGGTCCCAATGTATTATTTGGAGAAGGTGGTGCACTTGTATCACTTTGTGTATATGCCAAAGTTGTTACAAAATTACGATTTAAATGTGTTGCTTCGTAAAGTGCCAGCAACAATGCATTATTCGCGCGAACTTGTTGCGTTTTCGCTTCTTCTTCACCAACGAACATACTCCCGACTATACTAGTTAAAGAAGATAACCACGATGCTTGTATTTCTATGCAACATGTTTTTATTATTATTATTATTTTTATAATAAATAATTTAAAAATATGATCACGAACATTTTATACCTGCTCTTTGCTGAACAAATTGTCTACAAAACTCCATCAATGAACTTGATATAACTTGTCCATAACCATTAAGAGCTAATTCGTCATCTAAAATCGATAACTTAACAATATATGGATTTGCTCTTTCGTGCTTCCTATAATTGACTAGAAGTGTTAAAAGCAACACTGCGTCATGTCCGTGACGATTTCTAGCTGTCGTGTCTCTTAGAAGCTGTATAAAGAAAAAAGAGAGACAAAAATAGAAAATATTGATGTTTAATTGGAATAGTATTTTTTACAATTATAATATTAAAGTAACACCTACTTGAACCAGAGATTCAAAAACACTATTAAGCATAACATATTCCAACAAAGTGTTCTGACTAACATTGTCCATGCCAGTTACAATAATTAACAATAATTTCAAGCACAAAGCTTTTAAACTATCTGGGTATTCACCTAGAATCATGGGAAATTTTAATAATTTATCTCTTTTGAAAGACTGCAGATTATTCAAATGTTAAATGTATATTTGAATCTTTGATTTCTTAACATAAATAAATTAGTAATTACCTATGTATCTATTAAAGTGCATATACCTGTTAAAAAATTATTACAGTGTTGCATTAACGTTGTCATTCTCTGTTCTGCAGAATCAAATCCTACTAAGATATCTATTAAATTAAATCCACAATCGCCTTGACTAGCTTTCTTATACATGGATTGAATAACAGCTGCTAAAGTTTGTAAAGCATATACAACTCTAAAAGGATGTTCATCAACTAATGTGTCTACGCAATGGCAGACCAAAGCATTTAAATTCTCTCTGCTTGCGTTTAACTGCTCTGCAGTCATATGTAAAATTTCGCTTTCAATATGTGGAACCTAGAAATATAAGAAATATCACATATTGTTAAAACAATTAAATACTGAATGTGAATTTAACCACAAGGTACATAGTATAATAATTCATTTGTTTTTTTCTTTGACAGAAAAAAATTCATGAGAAAATTTGTTGTCAGAGAGGAAGTACTAAAATTCTTCATTTTATTTGGTTAATTTAAAAATTTTTTTGCACTAAGAAAATGATATTTCAAATTTACGATCCTATTTAAAAACTTATGTTTGTTTATATACATAAATGTATTTCAGTACATCATGTTTAGTAAATTTGTTACAAAATTAATACAAGTAAGTGTTAAGAATGTTACAAATGTATATTTATAATTCAACAATGTTGTTTGCATTTATTTAACATATTTATTTAATTTATTTTATAGTCATTACCAACATGGGAAATAACTAAATATTATGGAAGAGTGTGTATATATCAATTAAAATGTTTAAAATATAGAGTTCAAACAAGTGAAGCATGGTTTAATTTCAAGTGCAAGTTTATGCCTGGTACTTTGCACAAAGAATTAGAATGTGAAGATTATACTGAACCTAAAGGTATGTATTAAAAATCAAAAGTATCTTTTTCATAAAATTATTGAATTACTAGCAATAAATGCAATTTCAGTTAACAATGAATCCAAACAACAGAAAGAACAATTAAAAGTGTTGTATGAGACAAAATTGCAAAGTAAAGTTCAATGCAATTCAGAGGATTATAAACGTGCACCAACCTCGTTTAATGACTTAAAGGATTACATTATTAATGAATTTGTAGCAAGTTCAAAGAACCAAGAAAAACAAGAGAATAAGAAACATCAAGAAAATAGCAAATGTTCTATACACGAGGATGTGACAAAGAAAGAAAAAAAAGTAGAATTTAATTGCAAATCTTTGCTACCGACGAATCCTTCTTTTTTCAATAAAAACAAAAACTTTAATTACAGATGAAACACAGTCAATGACTTTTATGATAGACAAGAAGAATTTTTGACTTGGAAACTCTGTGGTATTCCCTCAAAATTACAAAAAAAAAAGTGTCAGAAACTTTTTTCCTTTATTAATTGTATTTGTAATTAAATGTGATATTTAATAAAAATGATGATGAAAGTACTGACCATAGGTTTGATTAAGAACAGTTCGTTCCAAAAATTTGGATGAGCCAATGTTAAGTCTTCTCCTTTGAAGAAACTTTCATAAATAGGTACAAGTTTTCCTTTATGTTGGCGTTTAGAGCCAGAGCCACTCCGTTTTCTCATAGCCATTGCCATAATTGATTATTCAATCTTTATCATTTCCTTCACCTAGAAATTGTACATCAACTTCGACTAGCGATTATCATTATCAGAGTTTTCACAAGCTTGTAAATTTTAAATATTTGTTACATTATATGAATGTGAATATAACGCTTGTTGTTTTTATTTGAAATTCGATACAACTCGATATGTGTGTCTATAACCTCTACATCGAACTTTCAACGAATTTTAAACGGACGAATATTTCAATGCGTGTGACACGTTTACAGCAAGGAAATTTAAACAATATTACATTTAAAAATTATGGAAATATGTATCGATAAAAATGTTACAAAAAGAAATATTGCGTATTTACGTACTTACTAACAAAGCAGATAACTTCTGGATGTCGCATAAGTGATCTCTGTATTTGCTTGAAAAAAAAAGAAAAGAAAACAATACTAAAAGTATTTTTCTCAGCACTGTTGTCTCTGATTATCTAATTTTTGAAGAAATTTCATTAAAACAAAACTCCAAGTACTGAAAGGTGAAACAATTGTACAAAGAATTAGGAAAACATTCGTGCACAAGAATGACAGGGAGCCATCATGAAATGAAAACTTAATATATATGTATCACATACTTGTCACATACATACATATCACATACTTGTCACATACATACATATCACATACTTGATATCCATCAAAATTCTGGATTGAAATGATAAAATTATTATAAAACATAATGATTTGACTATATCTGCGCCATTGACACATCGTTACTTAATACATGAGTAAATTTAGTAAATTTTAACTAAATGATATTACGTATATTTCTTTTAATTTACAAGAAACCATTCTGATATTTGCATTCCACTGTTTCGACATATATAAAGTATAGAAATTTCAAGTTATGATTTTACATTCGAGGATCCTAAATCATCTGAGAAATAGGTTCTTATTATCTTGAATTTACTATATTTTATAATAATACAATAACATTTGTATATTAATTAAATATTAACATATCGTATGATCTCATATATAACATATATCATATATTAATTAAATTTGTTATATTATATTTTATAATATATTAATATTCGCATATTCATTCAATTGTTTCAGGCAAATAAATAATAAATAATAAGATTATTATCATGTGAAATAAAATGTATTATATAAATGTAATAAATTATTGATCATTTTTAGATCTTTATCACTGACCTCAACTGTTTTTATCCAGCACAATGTTGAACCATTTAGACAGTACTCTTTTTATAAAGAGCAGTATGTTAAACGAAACAGCAATTCTTATGCAAAATATACGGTATATATTGCAATTACCACATCCGTATTAGGCTTGTGTTATTACACATTTTATAAACAAGTCCATGCTTTGAATAAGAAACCTATTTCATGCGGAGAATTCAGAGCAGACTTAAAAACATACAACTTGAAAGAAGTGGGCAAACATTATAATAAAGAGAATGGTATTTGGGTAATGTTTAAGCAAGGAGTATATGACATAACAGATTTTATTGAAAAACACCCAGGTGGTTCTTCTAAAATAATGATGGCAGCTGGCAGTTCAATTGAACCATTTTGGTCAATTTTTGCTAATCATAATAGAGAAGAAATATACGAGCTCCTTGAATCAATGAGAATTGGAAACGTATCAGAGGATGATGTAATTTCTAATGTAATTAATGACGATCCATACTTGAAAGAACCGAAAAGGCATAAAATTCTAAAGATAAATGGGCAGAAACCCTTTTGCGCTGAACCACCACCTTCGTTATTAATTGAAAGTTTCATTACCCCAACGTAAATCTAAAAACAATTTTTTAGGAATGTTATTTGTTGAACAATCTATTTTGAAGATATTCTTTTATTCCAGGGAATTATTTTATGTAAGAAATCATCTTCCTGTTCCTGAGATAGACTTAAAGAGCTACAATTTAGAATTAGCTATAGAAGAAGTGACAAAGAAAAGCTTGAAATTTGAAGACATAAAGAAATACCCCAAGTACACGATAACAAGTACTGTAATGTGTGCAGGAAATAGAAGATCAGAAATGGCACAAGTAAGTGGATATACTTTCCTTTTTCTAAGTATATACTTTTCTTTTGTTTTTTAAAAAAAGTATTTTTGTATTTTCCATTATTTTTCCGTTATAACTTTTTAAATTTATTACTATTATATCATAAAATTTTATACTATTAATATTATTATAGGTAAAACACTTGAAAGGACTTAGCTGGAGTGTAGGTGCTGTTAGTAATGCTACATGGACTGGTGCAAGATTGTATGATATATTGAAAGATTTAGGAATTAATGAGGATAATTACAATCACGTACAGGTACTGATGCATAAATAAAAAAGATTTTTTAAACAATAAAAATTATGAAAAATATTTAGAAATGTGAATAATTTCATGGGTCAAGTTTGAAGGATATGATTTAGATCCTTCTGGTACTCCATATGGGGCAAGTGTACCTATTAGTAAAGCTATGGATCCTAGAGCAGATATTATTTTAGCTTATGAAATGAATGGGCAACCAATACCAAGAGATCATGGTTTCCCAATTAGAGTAATCGTACCAGGTGTCGCAGGCGCTAGGAATGTGAAATGGCTTGGTGAATAAAAAATATGTATTATAACTACACAATGAGATAATTTTGTAAATTTCGCTGTAATTTTTATAGCCAAAATAATTGTCTCCAAAGAAGAAAGCCCGTCACAATGGCAACAAGGTGATTACAAGTGTTTCTCTCCTAATACTGATTGGGATACTGTAGATTTTTCCAAGGCACCTGCCATACAAGAAATGCCTGTGATTTCTGCAATTTGCAAACCAGAACAATCCGAAATAATCAAAGTAATAGATGGAAAAATAAATGTGAAAGGTGAAACAAATTCTAAAATTTCATTTCCTATCTTTACAATGTAATTATACTTTAAAGTTTTTGCCTGCAATTTTGAAAAACATCTGGTCGACATGAAATTTTGAACGGATGAAAGGAAGGAGAAGAGGATCCCAAATAAAAATTTTAATTTCAGAGATATCTTTATTAGTTTCCGCTTAATAAAAAACTATATCAACTGTTTTCGCTGCAGTCAGGTGTCGAATTCAATAAATTGTCCTGAAAACTTTCTGTTAATATTTCGAAAACCGATAAAAATTCGAAATAAAAATTTTATGATTGGGATCTTTTTTTCGTTTCCCTTAAAATTTTATATCGAATTTTTAGAATAATATCCAAATTTTTTCACAGGATATGCTTGGTCGGGAGGAGGACGAAAAATCATCCGAGTTGACATAACAAATGATCGAGGTAAAACTTGGCACGTAGCTGATTTAATTGCTGAAGACAATAATGCTAAAGAGGGTCGATACTGGAGTTGGACGTTGTGGAGTATAGATCTTCCAGTTAAAAAAGGAAGTAAAGAAATAGAAATTTGGGCAAAAGCTGTAGACGCATCATATAATGTTCAACCAGAAAATGTTGAAAACATATGGAATTTACGAGGTTTCCTTTGTAACGCATATCACCGAGTTAAAGTTAAATTGGAATATTAAAATTTATAATAGGAATTGAATATAATATACTTTCTCATTCAATAAAAATTAATAACATCTTCTTACTAAAGAGTAGATGTTTTTAATGTACTTTTTACAGCAGTATAATGTACTATTTTACTTCTTTAAATCTAGGTATCTTCTTTACTGAAGTAACCAGATAAATTATCCAAAGGTATTTTACAATTTCTTGAATTACTTATATCATGAATTTCAATCAAAGGTGGAGATTGTAATATAGATTTACCAACTATAACAACATAAGGAAATCCAGTTATGCGGGCATGCATTAAACGATTTCCAATAGTTAAGTATGTTCTATCATCAAGTATAATGTCTATATTTAATTGAGTTAAAATATCAATTATGTCTTTTACGTAGTGTGATGAATTTTCTTCTTTGCTACCTGTCTGTAAATTAGAATAATTTTTATTAATTATTGTTTGTAAAAAATATTGCATAGTACATACCTTTGGTGCAATAATGCAGACAGTATACGGTGCTAAATTTTTTGGCCATCTTAATTCTGTTTTAGTAGATAACAATTCGACCATAACAGTAAAAATACGACTCAAACCAAGTCCAAAACAACCCATTACCAAGGGCGTTGGTTTATTGTTTAGTCTTACTGCTGCATCTAGAGGTTCTGTATATTTTGTATTTAATAAAAATGTATGTCCAATCTTAAATGAGAAATAATTGTTTATTAAAGATCAATTCAGATCGATTCAAAAATTAACTTTTTCCATTACCTCAGCACTGTTTTGCTCCTTGAGTGTATCTTTACAATCAGGACAATGTGATTCCTTGTGCATTGTCTTATTGATACTGTATTGACACGATGAGCACGTACAAACAACATCTTCACCAATATCACTTAGATAATGATATTCATGAGTGACAGAGCCTCCAATTGATCCTGGATTACCAATAGCTGCAAATAGAAATAATATTAACAGAGGAAATATTAGGCTACATCATTTATTTTATTACCTTTGACGTATGTTATTCCTATTTTCTTAAATATATTTTCATAAGCCTCGGACACTGATGCATAAGTTTCTTTTGCTTTTTCCTCATTTATGTCGAATGTGTATAAATCCTTCATAATAAATTCTCTGCTTCTCAAAAATCCCAGTCTTGGTTTTACCTCGTCTCTCCATTTGGTAGAAATTTGATATAATCTTAGGGGAAACATTCTTTGCGACAATGTTCCTACTGACGATATTATAGAACAGATTGCTTCTTCGTGCGTCTATAGAAATATTTAACACTAACGTTTAAAAATGTTCTTAACACATCTCATGTACTGATATTCTCCCCTTTGAATGATTGGAAACTCACAGGACTGAGTATGTATTGCCTATGAGATCTGTCTTGAACTTTAAACAATTCATTTACATTGTCATTAAACCTATCTGTTTTCTTCCATAAATGCGTGGGTGTTAGAGCTGGAAGCAACATCTTTTGTGCCTGAATCTTTTCCATTTCAACGTCAACAAGCGCCACTAATTTATTTATAACGCGTAAGCCTAAAGGTAGAAATGCGTACATGCCGCTGGTGACTTGTTTGATCAGCCCATATTTAACCAAGTTCTGCAATAGATTAATTATGTAGTATACATTATGATTACATGATATTGTAAATATTACAGGACTCGAATAGAGAAAGACGATAAAATGGTCAATGTACCTCGTAACTTTTCGAGGAGAGTTCTGTCTTTTTGGCGGTAGCGATCGTAGCTGTGGCCGGTTGAAATAAATGCGACAGCTTTTTAACACTTTGAACTGGCATGCTTGACATGGTGCGAAATAATTTCGTTTTTTTAAAAATCTCACGTACAAATAATACGATGTACTACGCAACACGTGTCTCACGCTGCACGCTCGTACATCGCGTGCACTACGATTGAATTCTTGGTCGATGCTTTTAGGTCCAGTGATACACCACACGGTGCACGTACTAATTATATGCGTAGAGATGGTTGGAAACAGTCCGAAGAATGACAGGTGCGCTCGGGATCTCCGATTTTAGGTTATCTCCTTTGACTTTAATTCCTTTTTTCGCGAATGTCGCTTAATACGATAATCACAAGTTCGTTGTCGGATTGACAGTGAAATCCTCTGGCACCTATGACTTGCGTAGAAAAGCATAACACCGTGAAATAGGATCAAGTCGATCCGAAAGAAATGGAATTTTCAGTTAGTGAAATGGAGGAAAAAGAATTGGAGTTGCCTACCAAAGGAAAGACACTTCTCGAAAATTCTGATCGAATTAGGTCCGGTGTAACGTCAGATGCTTCAGGTGCAGAAGGTACGGTTAAACAAGCTTCATTTGATGGAAATTCACCGTAAATTATTTTTTATGTTGTTCAAGTAATAGCAGCTGCTCTTAAACTTTCTAACATTGTCTCTTTGATTTAATATTCTTAGACACTGACTCCTTGAATCAGCAACACGTAAGGATGCATGAAAAAGAAAGAATGCCAATTCATGAGGAGCTCATACGAGACAGTATCACTCAAAACGAAGTAGATTCGCTGTTGCTGGAAAACAGTGACCGAAGAGAGTGTCACTTGATACAGGAAAATAACGTTGACACAATTATGAAGAATTCCACTTCTTTAAGTAATTTCTCGAACGAATTTCTAATGTGTCAGACGTCTGTTGATACAATTCTTCCGCAAGAAAAGTCTCTCCAGAAATCATCTTCCTGCAATGATGTTAGATCATCTTCGCCAATGTTAGGTGATACACTCTTGAGTATATCTTCAGATGTGATTTCCAAACATGATCTGAGATCTGCGTCGCCAAATACAATGTATAATGACGAAGGAGAAACAATTTTTAATAATAAATTGCACACGGAGAATCGTGAAACGTCTTTGAGGGTTACTGTTGGTGTAGACACACAGAAAAGCTGTGAAATTAAAAATAATATTGGAAGAATGAAAGATGAAATATGTCATTCTAATATAGATGAAAACTTAATAGTAAATAACGATCAAATCCAAACAAATGTGGTTAAATGTGAAAGAGATTCTAATAAAGAACAAAAGCCATGTGAAATTATCAAGAGAACCAAGCCACAGAGCAATGTAATATCTAGACCAACTTTGATCGATGACAGTAGATTGGTAAAAATTTCACTGCCACCTAATCCAATTAACATAATGCAATCGAATGCTCAGTTTTTAAATAAAAGTCGCAACTTTTTAAACTTTATCACAGAAAAATCGACAAATATAATGGAGAGAGCATTATTGCCACAGCATTTAGCAATGAGGTATAATTCAGTAATGAAATCTGCGGATAATACTTGTAACGAGAAAAGATATACGGAGATATCCTCTGGTATGGAATTCTCTTCGACAGGATCAGTATTCAACATATCAGAGCCATTGACAAAAGCAAAAAATATTTCTCATGTAGCGAAAGATGAAACAGATGATCAAATTGCAGAAAATGAATATATAAAAAATGATGAAAATAAGAATACTTTCATGTTAAATTCAAATGAAACTATAAATGAAAATATTAAAAAAAATAAAAGGTATTTAGTCACAAATGATGATACCTTTGATAAAAGTAATGGCATTGATAATTCTCTTAAATTGAGAGATTCAGAACAATTGGAATTCTCTCCTAGGAATAACGATGTTAATAAAACAAATGATAATGTACTCTGTGCAAAAACAAACAGGACTGGAAATATTAATCCTACCGTATTAAATACTGGATACGACGATATAGATCAAAGTATTGCTGGCACCATGTGTCAAAGTAAAGAAGAAAATATCGACCTTGAAGATTCGAAACAAAGTTTACTGCAACATCCAGCTTATTTTACTTTATTGAAAGATTATGCGGATTTAAAATCTAAGCATTTGAAATTACAAGAAGAAGTCGAACACTTAGAAGAGAAGAATCGAATTTTAGAAGCACAAAACAAAGGAGAAATCTTCTCTGTACAGATAGAAACATTAGAGAAGACAATAAACAGACTCACTTTAGAATTACACACATCGTTAGAAACGCAGGAAATGTATAAAAAAGAGTACACTGCTGCAAATAAAGAAAGGGAAAGCATGGTGATGAAATACGCAGTTAGTGAAAAGCAACTTATTGATACACAGAGGTACGTTAAAGCATTTATAAATTTGATGGACATGTTTTATAATTATTTAATGTCTATCCGTTTACTGTGCTATTATTATCAGAGCAAGGGAATTTGCAGAACGTAAAGTAAAGGAAATGACAACTCAACAAGAGGTGCTTCATAGCAAATTACGAGAAATGCAAGGAGAACGAGCTAGAATATGTAACATTCTGACTGGGAAACATCGCGAGGTAACTGATCTCCAGAGAGAAGTTGAGAAATTGAAGGAAGATGTAAAGATGAGGGATATAAAATTACAATGGACTCAGAACAAACTTAAAACGGAAATGGATTTACAGAAGGAAACTCAACAAAAATTAGATAAAACCACAGTAATGACACTGAAAGGATGCAGTTTGTTCTTTTGTGTATAATTCTATGGTATTAACTCCATTGTTTTTATAGATCAGGATTAACGAAATGAAGGAGGAATGTGAACAGGTCCGCAAGGAAACACAAGAAACAATGCGAAAATTTCAACAATCGGAGGAGAACAAAGCAGTTACATTAGATCAACAATTGAAAGAACAACAGGCACGTTTAATTCTGGAAAGACACGTCACGGAGGATAAAGAAATGTTGAGGGTTCAATTACAAAAGGAAGTAGATACGTTGAAACATAGACAGCAAGTTTTAATTGAAGAAAATAACACGCTTAGTTTAAAGATACAAGATGCCGAAAAATGTCGGTTAAATTATGAAAGTAATTTGAGTAACTTAAAGATTATAGTAGATCAGCGTCAGAAAGAAATTACAGAGTTGTTAAGTAAAGTATCTGAATTAGAAACGTTGAAGATTCAGCTTCAACAGTAAATATCACATTCATATAATAATCTCTGTTTTTCATATAATAATCTCTGTTTTTCCTACTAATAATTTATATATATTTTTTTAACATAGCAAAAATCAATACTTAACATCGACCGAAGTAGAGATTCAACATTTACGTTTGGCTAATGAAGAATTGCAGGCTGATATGTCTGCCTGTCGTCAAAAGGAAGCAGAAATGCTAGACTTCACGCAAAAATTGACTGATAAAAATGTACGATTACAATCGGAATTCACGGCTATCGAGGCCAAAGCGAAACAGTTGGAACAGGAAAATGGACCGTTGCATCAACGTATAAATGAATTAATTGATAAAGTGAAAGCGTTGGAGGAAAGTCTTGCCGTAGAAAGGAAAGCGAGAATCGAAGAATGCGAAGCTTTAGCCAAATGTCTTGCTGAACAAACACAAGTAGCCCAGAATCTTGCTCAAGAGTTGGAAGATAGTCAAGGAGAAAACGCAGTGTTGAAAAGAAAACAGCAATTAAGTATGAAGGAAATGACGCGTGAGCTTCAACAATGTCGGAAGAAATTAGAAGCATTTGAAACATCAGTACCTTATAATTCATTAAGTGTCACATCTAGGACTGAATCGAATATTTCATTAAATACAGGTTCTCTAATATGATATTTAAATACTCATACACATACACTTTTATGCTATTTTATCAATAATGTCTGTTTGTTGTTGTAACAGTTGCTTTAAATGGTGCCTTATCCGATAACAGTAACAATGGTGACCAAAGTACTCGGCCTATAGAGCCTAGTAGACAATTGTTAATAGATCGTATTATAAAGTTACAAGAGAGCAATGCAAAGAAAGCCGAGAAACTAGATTTCTTTGAGGAACACGCTCGAATTTTGCTTGAGGAGTTGCAGAAGAAAAAGAAAATCATACAAACTTATATTTTGCATGAAAATATTGGTGCTATGGGTGGCAGTGAGAGAGATAAATATAAGGTAAATTTTCATCTTAGAACTTTTGAAGTTGATAATGTTATACATGTTACGAACTTTATTATTATATAATATTTCACTTTTTGTATAAAAGCATATCAAAAGTAGGAGAAATGCAGTGAGTTTAAGAATAAAGATTTAAACTACTATTGTGACTTTTTGTAATGATTTAAAAATCTAAAGATATTTATAATTATAGGCTGAGTTAGCAAGACACGGAGGAATAATGGCCTCTGTCTACAATCAACGAGTCTCTGACGATAACATGACTCTTGAATTATCACTAGAAATAAATCAAAAACTTCAAGCTGTTCTCGAAGACGCGTTATTCAAGAACATTACTCTAAAGGTAAGTGTAAACCTATTGATCCGTTGCACTATCTATTATATCTAAAACATACAATAAAATTATTATTCTAACTTATTGTTGTATTTTTAGGATAATATTGACACTCTTGACGAGGAAATAGCAAGATTAACGATGCAGAATCAACAAAGGCAAAATACAAATTAAAAGTACATATATTAGGAGGACATACTTACATTGTAAAGATAATGAAATAATAAGTGCATGTGTTGAAGACGCGAAAATTGACAAATTATCGATTAAGAAACTTGGTACATATATACTAACATTGATTTCAATGTCATATATTGAACATACATAAAATTACATTTCCACTCTACAATATACATATATTGAATAATTACTTTAAGTAAAATTAGTCTTTCAAGGTAATTCAAAAGATACATTCTTTTCAATATACTTAATAATTTCATGCTTATCTTATTGTTACATGTTGTTTCTGTAAATTTGTTTGTGTCTATTTCTTTCGTGTCAAAATGTTTTCAATTTACTTTTTATGTATTATATAGTTACAAGG